GCATGGGGAGGACAGGAAGGAAACACGAAGGGCGAGTTGATATCCTTTGGTCATCTAGCTTGCTTATTACAAATTTTCTGCTGTATGTGGCCTAAATTTCTGTTAAGCATATAACCATGGGTAGGCTAAGCATTAAGCTTGGTAGCAATTAAGCTGAAATTTATTATTCAAAGATTAGGAGGTCATGCCTTAAGCTGGATTATATGATATTCCATATTTCTAAATCCTAACTTGGACTAAGACATGCAATCACAAATTAAGATATGTACTAAACTAACTAGAACAATTATAAATTAAATAGGATTTACTTTGGTTAATCCAGTGCTTTGCAACTAGACCTTTGGTAAACTCATAACCCATCTTCCTGGAGGCACATAATTCGGACAGTTTTTTTTTTTCAATACACTAACTGGTTCTTGGGTCACATCTTCCTGAGGCAAAGAGACCCACTCAACTAGTGCAACCCATAGTTATGAAAGGTGAGAGGCGGGCAAAGAGTAGATTTTCAAGGCGAAAGGCAGCACGAGAGGCGGGCGAGGGGTAGATTTGCAAGGCAAAATGCGGTGCAAGAGCCAGGGGAAGGTTCTAATGACAATTCACAGGTGGGGCATTGTGATTGGGTGACGGCAGTCGGCAGGAATGCCTAAAGTGGTGGGAGAGTGATAGTTGCCACAAGGAGGGAGCAGGGCAGTTGAAAGAGGTATTCGGAACATAGATGGGGATGGTCAAGTCTATGGCTTTCTCCAATTTTTTGGCTTCACTAATCTGACATCACTGCAATATCTTCTTTCTCTTTTTCAGCCTGGCAAAAACGTTCTGTGTACTTTTCTGCCAAGTTGGTAGGTCATTCACCAACTTTTGAAATTTTTCTATATATTCTCTCTAGCTGCCTAATGTTTCATTCACCTCCTCATAAGCCCGTCCTCTAAAACGTATTTCTTCCATGTGATCTGCTTTTTTTTTTGAGATGAGACGTGAGAGTACCATCTCCACCATTTGTTCGCTTCTCCGAAAGTAGCCAAACTCCCAAACCTATTTTCTTTTTGGACCCATAACTACCCATGACCTTGAAGTAATAAGTGGCTTGTGGGTCTTCTAGTGAAATTTTTGGGAAAGCAAGATGGATTGGCTCGGGTTGTCCCAACTCTTATTTTCAATTTTCTTGTTCCCTAATTCTTGGTTTTGGACTTTGAATGTGGTTGAGTTCACTTCTTCCTCTGAATCTTGTTGTGATGAAATATCCCTTGATCAATCATCTCCTTGCGATTTTCAGGAATTGAAGATTAGGAGATAAATGTATGTTTTGGCAATTTGTTCCAACTTCTCAAAGATGGTATCATTTAAAAATCGTAGACACCAGCACATGCACATCACTGGGCATGAGGCGCGTAACAAAAAATGCATAATTGGTCTCTAAGCGTGAGAGTAGACATGAACCTCAAATGTGCCTCACGCTTCGAACAAGTAAACCCACATAGTGCCTTAGTGCGCGTAACACTTTAAGGGATTGAAAAGATCCCCGAGATGAGGAACCTTCCCTTGCTTCTGGCTAGAAGAGGAAGAACTTCGGATCCTATGGTCCGTGAATAATTAGAAAAAATTGTTCAATTGTTTCAAAGATGATGATTTTTTCAGTTAATGCACGAGTATCAATGGGAAAAAGCGGTAAAAGAGACCCACCATAATCATGCTAGGTAACATGAATTCTTATTAGGAATACAACGACAAACCCAATAGAATCCTATGAAACAACAAACCCAATAGAATCCCTTGGTGTTGTCAATTTATAATTTTGCAAGTTTTTTGAAAAAACACTAAAAATAAAAAAATCAAAACTTTTAGAATAATAATAAGCTCAAAATTATACTCGAAAAAAGAAAAAACATAATAGCTCTGTGTTTACATGTAAAACAAGTACAGTTCTTAGATGTATCATGATCTGCATGTGCAAGTTTCATCTCTTTAAATCACAAATTTACAAAAACATAACAAAGTATAAAATTTCTAAGCATATAATCAAAGGTGTAATATTACTTTTGCCATTATAGAGAAAAAATGGAAAATGCACATGAAACAAAATTAAACATTTCAAACATCTCTAGATCTCCATGTGAACTTGCAGATCTAATGCAACACTCAATACACATGACTTCAAACATCTGTATATCTCCATGTGAAATTGCATATCTAAGGAAAACAATAAAAAATTGGGACTTAATTTTAGTCATGGCCAAGTATATGTTGTTGTCTCTCGAGTAATAAATCGTCGTGGGTTGAAGGTCTTAATTTGCAAAGATGACATAGCCACTTCAAATACAACAACAAATGTGGTTAACAAAGAAGTCTTCCAAATTCTTTAATCTCTTTAGCATTATAATCTATCATTATTATCTTCAAAGATTGCATGTCATCTGTTAAATATTTACTCTCTCCGTCCCCCATAGATCTTCCCAAAAGCCCTTTTTCTTTGTCCACAATAGATCTTCTCATTTCATTTTTTAACAATTAAAATACCACAACTACCCCCACTTACTTTATTTATTACACCTCACCCACCTCATTTAATACACTCCACCCATTTTTCATTAAGGGTATTATGGTAAACTTTCACCTTTTTTCAACTCTCCTTAAAAACCACCAAAAGTCAAAATTAGAACATCTTAGGGGGACGGAGGGAGTACATTTGAATGTGTACTTTTATCTGCTATGAGTCATTTTAAAAAATCTATATCAAATACCCTAGATGCATACAATTGACCAAATTACCCGCCGTGCAATGCACAGGTACGAGTACTAGTAACAACAACAACCAATTTTGTAAGAAAACAAATCGAGCACATGTTCAAGCTTGTTTGAAGCCCATGAAATTATATATACTCTAAAATGCCTCATCACGCATATTGATCACCTAGGCAATCCTTTGATACCATGTCAACAAACCAAACCAACCAAGAGTTCAATCTTGTGGTTATAGGCCAGGGAATGATTTTATGCTCTTAACATAATTAATTATTAAATCGTAGATTCATAACATCACCCCTCCCGTGAATTTGAGCTTGTCTACAAGCTCTAGGTATGGAGATTGGAGACACAATCTTTGCCAGCCATTTGGTATGTATTCATCTGCCTTAGAATCGTCTAGGACCGCAATAGAAAATAACTGATTGAAATAGTCTTCAACCGTGTTGGTCTGCATTAAGAGCCACAGTTTGCCCACTGGTCCCTGTCGAGGGGTTGCCCAAAATGGTCAACATGAAGTTCTTTGAATAATTTTCTGTCCCTGGTGCACACAATATGAAAGATTAGGTTTTTGACTGAATGCAACAAGAGGACAAAGATATGCAAGACAGAGACTTCAAAATGCAAGAATGCAAGATCGTGACGGCATACACATCACAAGATTTTTAAGAGGCGACCTGATATGGTAGCTACATATCCAATATGAAAGATTAAATTTTTGACTGAATGCAACAAGACAACAAGCGGACAAACATATGCACGATAGAGACTTCAAAATGCAAGATACAGGATTTTTAAGAAATACTGTTTTGATAATGTTGTCCTCACATCTGAACTTTCTATAAGCAACCAACGACACCTACACAAAGAAATATGAAGAAAAATGAACATTACTTTATAAACAATGAATGTCCCAAAAACAGAGTGTATCTAAAAAAGAATATATTACATCTTTAACAAAGAATTAAGAAAACATTCCATTGAATGATCAGATCATGACCCAAGTTTCGAATCTGAGAACTCATAACAGATCCCTCATTCTTGTTCAATTTCAAAATGAAAAGGAAAAAGAAAATAGAAAAGAAAGAACCTGAACCACAAAAATCAATGGAAAATTGTGCACCATCAGTTTAGATCCAAAAGCCACCAAGGAGTGCAATCGCTGGAAAAAGGAAATAGAGAACCTTCCGCCATTGAGAGATTTTGTGCTGATCTCCCAGAACGATTCAATCGAGATATGAGAGAGAGAGAGACCATGGTGATGTAAAATTCCTAGTATAGCCTTGTACTTAAGTGGATAGAATCTTAAAATCCAATCAGATCTAACGGTTGTAGTTTATTCTTATTTCTTTCACACACACACACACACACACACATATATATATGTATATGTATATGTATATGTATATGTATATGTATATGTATATGTGTGTGTGTGTGTGTCTATATATACACACACACACACATACATACATACATACTTACATACATACATACATATATCATAACTTGTTTTTAGAAGAAGGTATACTTTTTTTTTGTAATTTATGTTTAATAACTGGTATATGGCATACTAAGTTGGGGGTCTCTTATGGAAACAACCTCTACTTTCAAGTAGGAGTAAGACCTGCGAACAACCCCTGACCCTATTTCTTGGGATTTGGGATTCTGTTGGGTTGTTGTTGATCGTATATAACATATGTGTATGTGATGAATGCATCAAATCATGTGTCATGTATTCCCTTCTTGTGAGATGTGCACATCACCAAAGAAAACACAAGAGAGCATTAACTGTTTCAACTTTCAAGTCGTTGAAGGATTTAATCTTCTACGTAGTACATAGTATTTTGTTGCAAATTGTGTGTACATCTAGTGGTATATACATAGATGATTGCTCATTTTCTTTTTCTAAATATTTTCTTTTGTATTTTCGTGTTATATTATTTTATTCTAATCATATTCATTCTTAAAAATGTTCATTTGAATATCACACATGCTTGTTCTTCTTTTATGAAAGTTTGTTTACATACTTACATAGTTGGATGTAGGATTATCATGATACATCCAAATGCATTATATATCTGCTACTATTTTGTGGTTTCAGATCTGGATATACTTGGTTGTTCACCTGAAGAAGAGTGTGAGATATTAGAAGATGATAAATATTCAGTTCCAGTTCCAGGGATGGATTCTGAGAATGAATTGACAGGGGAGAATTCTCATGCCCACCTCTGTCTATTTGACTCGGAGCTTGTAAAGGTTGATAATCTAGGAAATGTTTTAGTCTCTTTGCCACAACTTTCTACCAAAGCAGCAGCTTCTGAGTCTAAATGTGTGGGTCCTGAGCATCCTGAAGCAATAATAACAGATAAAACAGACAATTTATTGAGTGAAGAATTGAGCAATGACTCCAAAGATGTGGAGGCACATAGTCCCGGCTAACTTACTTTATTACGAGTGTTGTTCCAGAGTCTCCCATAAATAGTCCAGGTTAGTTCTACTCGTGTTACTTTATAATATTGCCCAATGCTATCCCTCTTCTGAAACTAGTCTCTGATTTGTTTAGCAGAGAGAGAGAAGAATGTTCAGAAACTGAATTTGGAAGGCTTAGTGGCATCCTTGCTACAGGATAAGAAGGTCAACCATTGTGGTACTAGTGGGGAAGATGGTTTTCCTTCACACGTTACAAGTTCAACTCCTTTACAAAAAGGAGAGGGATCAAGAACTTCCATGTCTTCCCATTCAAATAGTAATTGTATTAAACGAACTCCTTATGCAAAAATGTCAAGCCCAAGCTGCAGCAAAGACTGGCTTCTAGAATCTCAACACATGTCAGAAAGAGCTGGTGTAAGGAACAAGTTTAGAAGGTTGCGCAAGCTAGGTGATGGTTGTAAAGAAATATATCAAGAATACACAGAAAAAAATAACGTTTCTCCCCAAAAAGTGGCAGGCTCTTGTTTTAAGTCCAACAGGGCTGTGAGTCGTGTGACCAGGAGGAAGCACAGAGGTTAGAGTAATTTCAGCTGCCTTTCAACTCCAATGATGTTTATCTGATTTCTTCACAGATTACCCCCCGTTTTACATTTCCATTGCTTGTTGTCTTAGGCTTCTTATATCTATCTAGATTGGAAGGAATGAATAAATTATATTAGTTCTGTTAATATGAATTGCAGTTAGTTTTCGTGATCAGTTTTTTTATGGTATCTTCCTATCTATATTGTTTTGTTTTCAGGTGAGATGCGGCAAGTAAAAGATGCTAGGGCATTCCTTGAAGTGGAAGCTGAGTAAGTACATGATTGTTTTGTTGACACATTGTGATTACTAGCTAAATGCTTCTGTTTCTCCATTTCAGTTTATAAGATGTTTTAATTGTTGTTCTTACTCAGGGTTTCTTCAGAAAGCTTGGCATCTGATGAAGAAGAAGAAGAAGAGGAGGAGGAGGATTGTAATTCATATGATGGCAGTTTCATTGATGACCAGATAAATTCTCCTGCAGTGGACACTCAAGCTAACTCTTGTAGAATGGACATGATGGCAATTTACAGGTTCTTTCTTTGAATCAAGTGAAATAAATTGCATTCAAGCTCACAACCCTTTTTATTCTAATAGTTCAGGGATTATTTATTTGTTTATCATTTGATCAGTTTATTTAGTTTCTATTTTGTTCACAAGTACTTATTGGTTAGGACTCTTATTGTCAGCAACTAGTTAGTACTCCTATTTGGTAAGACTGATAAAGAATTAAATTTGTTCATTCTTTCTTTAATCTCCGTGGTTCTCTCCCGCTTTCTCTCTGGTGGCAACTTAGGCCCATAAGCGAAGTACATCTCTACCTTACATTTTGAATAGTTGCTTATTTACTTCTAGGCTTGTTACCAATGATAAGTTTCTTTCTAGTGTGTTTTCCGACAACTGCATTTACATTAATTCTTATCCAACCAATAAATTTGTTCTTTCATAACAGGCGTTCTTTACTTACTCAATCCCCAATGGAGCTATTGCCAAATGCGTGCAGTTATCTCAGTCCAGATTCTTTGGCTACAAGAAGTGTGAAAGCAGTAACTACAAGCTCTTCAGGAACAATGGATCACCGAACACCCCAAACAGGCTTAGAGTCAACAACTAGAAAGTCAGAAGCCGTGCCTTATGCAACAACATCTGCATGTCCTTTAGGAGAGAATGGGAGCAAGACGGGGAGTCAGAAACGCAAATTTAGTTCTTGTGAAACTAGTCCACTACCCGCACGGAATTTGGAGAGTGATTTCTTGCAGCAGAATGGAGCAGGGGGAAGCCACTCTCCCTTGCCGGTACAAGAGCATAACAAAATTGAAAATGGGAACTTGCTAGATGATGATGATGAGTTTTTTCAAGGTATTGATCTTGATGCGATCGAAGAAGCCACGAAAATGCTTCGGCATAGACCACAAAGCGTCTCAGTTCACAATCAACCCATTTCAATTCCAGTTCCTCAAAACATTGGTATTAGCAATTCTCCTTCATTTGATCTTGGTTTTTAATTTTTGGACTAGATTTAACAGTAGAGTAGCCGTGTCTGCTTGTACATAACTTATACCTTGTATGTGGCTTATCTTTATTCATTAATGGATAAAATCCACTTAATATGCATTTTCATGTAAGAGTAACGCACCTTCACTTGTAAAGAAATGAAAATTTTGGCTGTTTAGCAACTTCACAGCTTACTCCTAAAAATCATCTAAGATTACAAAATAATCACTGGTGCTTCTAGAATTTGTATAATTTAATAGTAATGAAGTCTTTAAATTCTGGAAGCACCAATGACCATCTTCTAATAATATTCATGTAAAATTTCAAGTTTTTCTTCGAGCTTAAATTTCTCCTTGTATTGCTGCTGTGTCTGCCTTCTACATTATGAGAGCCAAACCTTTTTTTTGTTCTTGTTTTTTACAAGAGGGAATTGAACCTGTTATCCGAGTAAGTAACGTTTCAAATGAATCAAATTAAATACCGAAGTATCAGAATTCATCTTATTTTTTTTAAATACGAATTTGAATCTGATTATGAAAGGAATGATTAATTTGATAGATATTTGAATAGTTATTAAATATTAAATGTTTATTCAAAGTTATAACATAAATGGACCATGGTTGGTTATACATTCTTTAATTTATGCTATTTCTTTAATTTTTGTTTTTTCTAAAAAAGGAAATTTGTTTTTAGAACTGTGAAAAAATGAGGAATAAAATAAGAAAAAAATTATATAAAATAATCCATAAAACACATTCACATCTATTCGAGATTCAATATCCTTTTTAAACCCTTTTTATTTAAGAAAATCCATTTTATTTATTTCTCCGTGAAACCTTTGATTATAAAATCCTGACATTCTTCATTTTATGATAAGGTGTAAGAGCATCACTTTGTATAATAATGTGTATCCAAAGTACTTATTAAAATAAGGGTACTATTTCTAAATATACTTTATTCTAGAATAACGATAAACAGTTGGCCATCAGGACACAACTCCAACAATCTCCACTTGCACTATGGCCAATCTGGCATCGGTCGAATGCCCATGGACCTAGTGTGACCCTCATGCTTTAGCTTTCCTAAAGGCTTGGTCAAGGGATTGGCTATGTTGTCGTCAGTATCTACTTTGCAAATCATCACATCTCCTCTGTCTAAGATTTCTCGTATGATGTGATAGCATCATACAATATGTTTGGTTTTCTGGTGAGATCGCGGTTCCTTTGCGTGTGCAATGGCCCCAGTGTTGTCGCAAAACAACGAGATAGGGTCATTAATACTAGGAACCACTCCAAGTTCAGTAATGAACTTCTTGATCCAAACAGCTTCTTTAGCTGCCTCGGCGGCAGCTATGTACTCAGCCTCTGTAGTCGAATCGGCGGTTGTATCCTCCTTGAAGCTCTTCTAGCTAAAAGCTCCGCCATTCAGGCAAAACAAATATCCTGCTTGTGATTTTGAATCGTCCCTATCGGTTTGGAAGCTAGCATCAGTGTAGTACATATCATGGCGTATATGATGGATCCAATCGCAGAAGCGTATGGAACCTTCATCATGAGTTCCTTCTGCTCGGGAGTAGAAGGACTCTGGCTCTTGGAAAGAACCATGCCAGGTGTCATATGTAAAGATCCTTTCTTTGAGTTAGACATGCTAAATCAATCAAGGATTTTATCTATATATGTACTTTGATTTAGACCTATTAACTTTCTTGATCTATCTCGGTAGATTCTTATGCCAAGGACATAACTAGCATCCCCTAAGTCTTTCATGGAGAAGTTCTCGCTCAACCACGTCTTTACAGAAGTGAGATCGGGAATATCGTTACCCATTAACAATATGTCATCGACATATAAGATTAGGAATACTATTACACTCCCACTGACCTTCTTGTATACACAAGATTCGTCAGAGTTCTTCTCGAAACCAAAACTGGAAATGGTTTCGTCGAAGCGTATGTACCAACTCCGAGATGCTTGTTTCAATCCGTAGATTGAACGTTGCAACTTACAAACTTTGGCAGACTGACCAGCAATTTGAAAACCGTCAGGCTGTGTCATGAAGACATCCTCTTTGAGGTTCCCGTTAAGGAAAGCCGTCTTGACATCCATCTGCCAAATTTCGTAATCGTAATAGGCTGCAATCGCAAGCATTATCCGAATGGATTTTAGCATAACAACTGGAGAAAAGGTTTCATCATAGTCAATTCCGTGGATTTTTCTATAACCTTTTACTACCAATCTAGCTTTGAAGGTATGAACCTTCCTGTCTACGTCTGTCTTCTTTTTGAAGACCCACTTGCATCCAATGGGTTTCACCCCTTCGGGCGCATCAACCAAGGTCCAGACTTGGTTTGTGTACATAGACTCCATTTCAGATTTCATGGCTTCGAGGCATAGATCGGATTCGGGGCATGTAATTGCCTCGAGATAGGTCTCTGGTTCGCCTTGATCTACCAACAAGACGTCACCTTCATCAGACATGAGAAATCCATATCTGACCGGAGGATTACGTATCTGGTCTGACCTACGTGGTATATCTTGAGTAGTTTGAGGTTCAATTGCTTGATCTCTTTGCTCATGTTCCAACACTATCGGGACTTCTTCTTGTGGTTCTCGAATTTCTTCGAGGTCTACCTTTCTCCCACTAGTGATAGTAGAAAGAAACTCCTTCTCAAGGAAGGTTCCATTCCGAGCAACGAAAATTTTGTTATCGGATGGATGATAGAACTCATACCCTCTAGTTTCCTTGGGGTATCCCACAAAAATTACTTTATCAGATTTAGGCTCCAACTTACTAGACGTCATGAGACGTTTTACATAAGCTTCACAGCCCCAAATCTTAAAGTACGAGAAACTCGGTTTTCTCCCACGCCATAGTTCGTATGGTGTGCTCTCGACAGCTTTAGATGGAACTCTGTTGAGTGTGTGTGCTGCTGTTTTCAATGCATATCCCCAAAATGATTCTGGCAATGTTGTCAGACTAATCATGCTC